AAAAAAAAAAAAAAAAAAAAGAAAAAAAAAAAGAAAAAGAGGAGGTAGAAGAAAGCAACCTGGGGCAATGAGAACTCGTGTCTTCTCAACTCCTTCCCACCAAACACTAGAACTCATCTTCAAGCTTTAGTAAACTCAAATCCTACGACTCTGACACAAGGACAGTTGTGAAATCGCTATATCAAACTCTACCATCTCTAAAAGCGAAGAGAGCTAGGGCGAGAAAAGATTAAAGATTGCGAAAACCCTCACCAACAACTTAGATGATACACCACGTGATGAAGGCGAGAAAGTAGTGATGTTAATGAATCAGGACTAAGTTTCTGAAAGACATTTCATCGAACAGTTGGTGTACCGAAGAGGCACTGAGAGACACAGAGTCCAGATTCGCGCCATGGCAGAAGTTAGCGCGCGCATTTAAATATGGGCCTTGGGCTATTAACAATAATGGTCAGGCCTATCAAGAAATAAAAATAAATTATTTAACAAACCTACCCCTAATTTTAACAGATATTAGCCAGCTATGTCTCTATATTACTTTAGGTACCAATACCACCCCAAGTCATTGAAGAAGCTTCAATAGACTCTTACAGTCTTGGTAATATAAGTAGTTAAATAACCATTTTGACTTGAGGAAATAAACTCAAACGTGCCATTGATCTTCTCATTGCAGTTTGTTTTGTTGTTCTTGTCTTTTCATATGAGAAAGCTTCTTCAATGGAGTCTGACTAATAGTAAGAACTTAAGAAGATAGCTAGTAATATAACATAACCATTCAAATAGCATAGAAGTTACATTAACATACAGAGAAATCAAAACTTCTCTGGAAATGTTTAAACCATAATAACCCAAAAGACAACAAAAACAAACCAACAAAAAGCTAAAGATTTGATCATACTAACTACTACTACTACATAAGAATCTAAGAAACACAGCAACAGAGAGAGAGTCGGTCACATGACTCTCTAAATATTACCGATTACAAAAGACAAAGGTATATATCTTCTTATGCTGCTTGTGTTTAGTGTTCTTCTTCTTCATTATCTTAAGAAACCCAACTCATAAAAAGCCAATCTTCAAAACTGTACAGCCTTCTCTCTTCCTTCATAGATAAAGCAATCCATTAAAAACTTTCGGATAAAACATCTTTTTTCTAGAGAGAAGTCTTCTTCGTTGATGCAGTCATGTTCATGAGTAGACATGATCACATAAACTGTACACAACACTGACTGGCTTTTTCGTTGCAGCGCCTTTCCAATAAACTCTCTCCAGTTTTCCATTGGGTTGAGGACGTGAGGGGACGCTTTCTTGGCAGATTTGTTGCAGTACACTCTCTAGCTCTCCACTAGCTGCTCCAATTAGTCCTGCAAAATTTTGACAAGGTTTGGTTTGTAAGTATGCATTATTACAAAGAAAGGGTTTCTAGATTTTGTTGTTTGTTTCTTTTTTTACCTAGGAACAGAGGAGATGGTTTGCCAGGTCTTGATTTGTACTCAGGATGGAACTGAGCTCCAACGTAGAACGGATGGTTAGGTAGCTCAACGATCTGTATTACCAAATGTAAAGACTTATATAACAAAGAAGATGAAACGTTTCAATGTGGTGTAAGGGGTTTATCTATAGGTTTGTTACCTCCATTCGCTGACCAGTCTCGTCTTTTCCTGGGAATGTGAGTCCAGAGCTCTCAAAACGTGGAACCATGGCTGGATTCACCTGTAAGAGAACATCTGTCGTTAAGCTTAAACTGTAGAGAAGAGAAGTGTTTACTATAATCTAAGAGATGGTTAACTACCTCATATCTGTGTCGGTGTCTCTCATCAACAAAACTTCTGTTCCCATATCTGAACATTCCAAAGAATAAAATATCAGTTAAACTCTAAGATGCATACTTGTAAGAATGAGAAAATAATCATGTGCTTACAGTTTTGCTGATTTGGAGTCCTTGCTTTGAAAATAAGTTCTTCGTGAGCCTAACCTCATAGTGCCTCCCATATGAGTTGTCGAGCCCTGCATCAAACATGAATCACATGAGATCCTGAACTAAGTAGAATTGAGTTCTTGAAACTGAAACAGAGAAGGATGTGGAAGGGAACAAACAAACCTCTGGCATGAAGACAACACAAGGGTTCTTGGTGTTAGGATCAAGTTCAGCACTGTTTGCATCTGGCAAACCAAGTACGTTTCTTGCATACTCAATCACAGCGAGTTGCATCCCTAAACAGATACCAAGGTATGGAACTTTGTTCTCTCTGGCGTGTTTCGCTGCCAGGATCTTCCCTTCTACACCTCTGTTCCCAAAACCTCCAGGCACAAGAATACCATCAGCACCCTTGAGTAACTTCCAAGCTGCCTTGTATGCATCTGGATTCTGCAGACACGAATTATTTTGCTTCAGTGTCTTCTCGTATTTTGTATTAGTAGAGATTAGTGTAAACATACCTCTTTCTTGACACCTTGTTCAAGATCAGTAGCTGAAATCCAATCTATGACAAGTTTCTTACGCCTAGCCACAGAAGCGTGCAAGAGAGCCTGCTCATTACGCAAACGAGATTGTTATAGAAGATAGCTTCTGAAAAGTTTGGTTATAGAAATGCGTTGTATGGCTATAGTTGTTTGGACTGATAACTATTAAAATATACCTTGTGGAGGGAAAGATATGAATCCAAGAGCTCAGTGTACTTCCCAACCACAGCAATTCTTACCTGAAAAACTCAAGACATGATGAAGTCAGTGTCTAGATGAAAACTAATGAGATCAACTAAGCTTGAACTGTCATGGTATAACCAGGAACATACCGGAACGTGCAACTTGTCGCTCATTTTAGCCATCACAGACCATTCCTCTAATGCAGGCTCCTTTGCAATTCTGTATTTGGACATATCAGACAATGATTCCCACAAGAATCAGCATTTTAATGAAATGAACGAATCTATTAAAGAATATGAGTAAGCGAGACACACCCTTCAAGGTTCAAGACACGCAATATCGCCTCGTGTGCCTTTTGTTCCTGCTCAGACAAGTTAAGATGTTAGTGCTGAGAGCAACCTGTTTACCAAAACTTTGAGAGTATGGTGGAATGAGAAAGCAACTCACTTTGAGAAGCAATGGAATATGCCAAATGTTGGGGCAATCATAGAGAGTAACAACGTTTTCCATCTGCAAATAAATTACATCTTATTTAGCCAATGTATGTAAAAGCAAAGAGAAAGATTAAGTTCTGTCTTGCAAATATTACATACCGGAACTTGGCAAAACTGAGAGAGTTTGGCCTTCACATTATCTTCAAGTGGCTACAAATCAGGATTCAATGTAAGAACTTAGAGCCAAGATTCAAGAACAAACGTTACCAAAAACAAAAGAGTTTACAAGGATGAAACCTTTGTGCTTCTGCAAGCCAAGATGTTAGGGCTTAAGCCAAGGCCTCTTAAGTCTTTAACGCTATGTTGCGTTGGTTTAGTCTTCTGTAAGCAATTAGACCAACGATATGTTAGACATCGTTACGATGAAAACTCCAAGAGAAATAAGACTCAAGAAACTTGCCTGTTCACCAACAACATTCAGTACAGGCACAAGACTGACATGGATCAAACAGAAATTTCCAGAGCCTGAAAAAAAGGTTAAACACACACATCACTCCATCTTGACATCTTAAGTAATCTCACCTCAATGAAAAACACACCGAGACCATTTCTTACCAACACGATACGAGAACTGCCCAAGAGCTTCAATAAAAGGCATGGACTCTATGTCTCCTGCAGAATTCAAAGAGGTTAAAACTACACCAAACATGTGTTGAAGTCTAAATGAAGTGAACTAAAATCAAAATACCTATTGTTCCACCAAGTTCTATGACACAAACATCAGCTGGACCTGATTGTCCATCAACTGGAATCTTAGCTGCACGCTCAATCCATTCTTGAATTGCATCAGTGATATGAGGAACAACCTACAAAAACCCAACAGAATTTAAAAAATCTTTCAACTGTCTCAATCTCTCAGAGGAGTTTCAGTAAACACATGGTGTACTGTGTACATTTTTTTTTTTCTAATTACCTGAACAGTCTTCCCAAGATAATCTCCTCTCCTCTCTTTCTCAAGCACATGCTGTTCAACACACGTCAACGTCAAAACTCAAAATCTAACATTTTGAAATTAATTTTTGTTTACAAACATTCTCAAATACACAATACCTTATAAACCTTTCCGGTAGTTATGTTGTTTTCACGGGTCAGCTTAATGTCCATGAACCTCTCATAGTTCCCAAGATCAAGATCAACCTTTTTATTAAAAAATTCAACAACAAAATAATAATTAGTTATTATTTTAACGGTTGGTGACTTAACTAATTAAATGACATTTCCATTAAAAAAAAAAACAGAGGAATTTCTTTTTTTTGGTGTAAAGAAACAGAGGAATTGGTAAAGAAGAACTCATTAAGTGTTGTATAGTACCTCGCCACCATCGTCCAAAACGTAAACTTCACCATGCTCAATAGGTGACATGGTCCCAGCATCAATGTTTAAGTAAGGATCTGTAATGAAAAAAAAAAATCATGAAAGGGTTTAACTTTTCAGACAAAAGCCATGAGAATTTCAACACAGTGAAAACAGAAAAGATTAAATCTTTTTTGTTTCTACACTTTTCTACACGCGTGAGGGAAAAAAAGGAAACTCCTTTTCAAAGTTTGTTGTATACTACTGGGGCCATGAAAATCAAATCTGAAACTTTTTCTTTCGTTGGGAGAAAAATGAAAATCAAAAGTGAAAGAAAAAAAAAGAAACGAACTTTGCGTGAGATAACAGAAAAAAAAAGGGGACATGTTGGTTATTAGTACACATGAAAGATTTAGACAAGTTTGTTGTGATTAAGGAGAGAAAAAGAGACCGATTTTAATGGCGGTGACACGGAATCCACAGGATTTGAGGATGAGACCGATGCTACTTGCTGTGACTCCTTTTCCTAGTCCACTCACTACTCCACCTGAAACCACCACATACTTCATCTTCTTCTTCTTCCTTTACTACTTCTTCTCAAGTCAGTTTCCTGAAAAGGAGAAAAAAGTATAAGTAAGAAGGTAAGGGAGAAAGAGCTCATAGAGAAAAAAACAGAGCATAGAAACAGAGGAGAAAGCATCCAGCTTTTGGTTTTGTCCAACGGTTGTAGAAGCTAAGACAAATATTATTGTTAGAATCATGACATGTTTTTTA